ACCAAAAACGCTTATTTCTGCTCCACAGACGCTCATTTAAAATAATCTTGACTTATCGCATAGTAATAAATTATTAATATCAAAAATGTATTTCTGTTTTTTCTTTTTACATATTTTGTTAAAAGGCCAAATAAGGAATTCAAACAAAAAAAAATAATTTTCTGTTTGGTTTCATTCTTGGATCAGGCTTTAAAGGGTTAAGAGGCAAATTGCAACTCTCACAATGTCTGATGCAATTCAATTAGAAGCTCATATTCAACTAAATGTTTCCAATCTCCAGAAATGGAACTCCATGATCTTTATTTGATGATCTTCTATATCCCTGATACTGGGATGCAGTAATTATTTTATGTAAGTCTTTGTATCCAGAAATAATAATAAGTCATTGGATTCCTTTTGTGCAAAGCCCATCAAAAATGGATGACTGTATATGATAGTTCCAGCTTTATGGACTGTGTGTTAGAAAAAATCTGAAAAAAGCCGTTCTCAGAGATTTTCAGCTGGCTCTCTGACTGTAAAGTGAGGGTTCGATTAAATGGTTATTAAATGCTTTATTCTGTCTTATTCCAACTTCTTAGAACACATCCACTTCCTCGTTTTTGTCACATGACTAAAAACAAACCAATGAGAATCTAACCTAAGGAAAAAGCAGATTCAACTAAATATCTTAAAGACGTAATCGTGAATTAAATCAAATATAACGATATGAACTACCAAATTAACTGAACTTTGCATGAGTTAGAAGTGGCAAACATGTTCATCATTAAAATTATTTAAATTCTTTTAAAAGAAGAAATGAAATCGTGAACATGCCAAATGTGTCACGTCTGGGGGAATGTCTTTTGTCACAGCCCAGTTTACTTTATTGCCATAGTCTTGTTTTTGTACCATAGCCATGTTTTTGCCATAGCCTTGTTTACCTTATTTTATACTTTGTTCATGTTTTTGTCACAGCCATGTTTTTTCACAGTCATGTAATCTTGCTTTGTTACTTTGTTCATAGTTTTTTCACAGCCTTGTTTTGTCCCATGTCTACCATCCACTCCTTTTGAGTGTGTTTTTGTTAAAATAAACCCTTGTTTCCATATCTCCGCGACTGAGTCCTCCCTCCAAGATCCACCTACTTGACAAAATGTCCCTGTTGTGTCTCAGAGTTAAAGCCGAGGGTTTATAAACCCCCTGAAAACCGCCAGACATCTTAAATTCACACCTTTTTTAACAGAGATGGTGGCAGCTGCTTGTTTTGTTACCTGACCTTGGACTTTACATACTGTGAACCTCAGCCGTTTATCATCCTGAAAGGCCAATAAATTAAACCGAATAAAGGGTCATGGCTTAAAGTCCACCTTTAATAACGGTGACACACAGGTCAAGTGCAAATTTCCCAGAAACCAGGTCTCACTCGTCTTTCCTGTTGAGTTTGTCTAAAATAAACGAAGCCTCAGAATGAGCATTTGTACAATACATATTATGACAAACAATACATATGCATATAAGACAATTTGCCCAAAAAAAAGGCATTTTTGTGTATGCAGCTCAGTCCAGGGAACACTCTTTTAACATGACTAGAATTAAAGGGTTTCATAGTTTCAATGGGAGGGGGCTAAGATTGACCTTTTCTTCAATGTCAAGTGCAGACATGATATTTTTCTTTAACCCTGTAATGCCAAATATATCATATCTGATTCATACGGTTTCTGAAATGTTTTGCGTCTGACTCCTTTTGCATAATTTAATGGTAAAAACTTTGCTCAAAATCCTATTGAACACAATCAGATACACCTGATAACAGGGGGCAGAAGACTACACAAAAAATAATCTGGACTTATCGCATGTAAAATTATAAACAAAATCTAGTCATAAGGAATTATTACATGATTACGCCACCAGTCACTAGAACAGCACACACACTCAAAAATGGCATATTATTTGCAGATAATTAATTCCTTATCAAAAAATCTTTTTAGACCAATGAGGTGTCTGTGCTGTTCTAGTGACTGGTGGAGTAATCATGTAATAATTCATTATGACTAGATTTTGTTTATAATTTTGTATATTGAAGTGGACATGTTAAGTGCAGTTTGAAAGAAGAAATATAAAATATGATAAAAATACATTTTTGTGTTTATTAAATTCCTATTCAAGACACTTAAGATAAGATAAGAATAAGATAAGAATAACTATAGTGTTACTATAGGCGGATACAGATTTGTTTAACATTTTTGGTTGGTGGTGTGCCTCGAGATTTTTTCAATGAAAAAATGTACCTTGGCTCAAAAAAGGTTGAAAAACACTGGTCTATGCGATGGACCTTTTGTTATTGATGGCTCTGAGAGATGAGTTGGTGATGAGGAAATGCTGTTTGTAGAGATTTAGGCTGGGAATGGTTCCTAAATCCCGTCTCCCTGCAGGGGCAGCAGCTCCTGGACCTGGAGCAGAAACTATCGGTGGCCAAGGAGGAGCTGGAGAAGACGGCTCTGGATAAGGTGAACCTCCATATCCACGTTTATACAGTAGGGGAAATAAGTATTTGACCCCTTTCTGATTTTGCAGGTTTGCCCACTTACAAAGAATGCAACGATCTATAACTTTAATCATATGTACATTCTAACAGTGAAAGACAGAATCCCAAAGAAAATTCCAGAAAATCACATCATATGAATTTATAAAAATTGATAACTATCTGATGAGGAAAAATAAGCATTCTTTGTAAGTGGGCAAACCTGCAAAATCAGCAAGGGCTCAAATACTTATTTCCCCCACTGTAGTCTTGTTTTTGTTCCATAGCCATGTTTCTTCACAGCTATGCCACAGCCTTGTTAACTTTGCTTTGCTACTTTGATCATAGTTTTTGTCATAGCCTTGTTTTGCCATAGTCTTGTTTTGATACTTTTGCCACATCCATGTTTATCTTGCTTAGCTACTTAGATCATACAGTGGGGAAAATAAGTATTTGACCCCTTGCTGATTTTGCAGGTTTGCCCACTTACAAAGAATGCAACGATCTATAACTTTAATCATATGTACATTCTAACAGTGAAAGACAGAATCCCAAAGAAAATTCCAGAAAATCACATCATATGAATTTATAAAAATTGATAACCATCTGATGAGGAAAAACAAGCATTCTTTGTAATCAGAATCAGAATTAGGTTTATTGCCAAGTAGGTTTTTCACCTACAAGGAATTTGCTTTGGTGTTTGGTGCACAACACTTCTATGAGAAACAAGAAAGGACATACAATGTAGAAATAAAAATATAGAATAAAATAAGATAAATAATAATAAATAATAAAATAAAATATTGAATGTCCAACGACAGACTAGAAAATGTTAAACGTAGCATTGGGTAAATTAGAGGGGTAGAGGGGGGTGGAGGGGTCAAATACTTATTTCCCCCTCTGTATATTATATATAGCAGGTTAGAACTTCTCATTCTGACCTATTTAAGCTCGGCAATGTCAAACATCAAAAAGAGAAACGTATTTAAATTCCTGGATGAATAAATCATGTGTAGCCACATGAATTGCTGTTTTCGGGGAGAGTCTGAGCAGAGGAGGGAAACAGAGCTCTGAAATGGGTTTTTCACACCAATTCTGTCATTTATAGGGTGTGTTGTCACCGTGTTTAGCTCCAGAGCTTTGAACAAATGCACCGGCTTTAATTTGTGAGATTCCTGTGTTATTTATGCATGTGCTTATTGACTATATACTTATACTGTTAGGCTTAGATAGATAAATTAAAATTGCATATGGACAGAAAACGTTGATTAGTACAACAGGTAACCACCATGCTCATTTCAGGGCTGTTAAAATGAGAGGTTGTAAATAATTACTCCAAAAACTCTGTACATATTGGTATAAAAGTTGTTCTTTTTTATTGGAAATTCTTCTTTTTTTATTGGAATTTCAGTTCTGATTCACAGCTCGGAGCTTTCCAGCTGTCTGGAGTCACTTTAAAGCAGTTTTTTTCAACCACTGTTTCACCCAATTGGTGTAAAACGATTTTTTGATGAGGAATTAATTATCTGCAAATAATATGCCATTTTTAAATGTGTGTGTTGTTTTAGTGACTGGTGGAGTAATCATGTAATAATTCCTTATGACTAGATTTTGTGTATAATTTTATATATTGAAGTGGACATGTTAAGTACAATTTGAAAGAAAAAATATATAAAATATGATAAAAATACATTTCTGTGTTTATTTGATTCCTATTCAAGACACTTAAGATAAGATAAGATAAGAATAAAATAAGAATAACTATAGTGTTACTATAGGCGGCTACAGATTTGTTTAACATTTTTGGTTGGTGGTGTGCCTCGAGATTTTTTCTATGAAAAAATGTACAGTGGGGGAAATAAGTATTTGAGCCCTTGCTGATTTTGCAGGTTTGCCCACTTACAAAGAATGCAACGATATATAACTTTAATCATATGTACATTCTAACAGTGAGAGACAGAATCCCAAAGAAAATTCCAGAAAATCACATCATATGAATTTATCAAAATTGATAACCATCTGATGAGGAAATACAATCAGAATTAGGTTTATTGCCAAGTAGGTTTTTCACCTACAAGGATTTTGCTTTGGTGTTAGGTGCACAACACTTCTATGAGAAACAAGAAACGACATACAATGTAGAAATAAAAATATAAAATAAAATAAAATAAATAATAATAAATAATAAAATGAAATAAATAATAATAAATGATAATAAGTAATAATAAATATTAAAATAAAATATTGAATGTCCAACGACAGACTAGAAAATGTTGAAGGTAGCATTGGGTAAATTAGTGGGGTAGAAGGGGGTGAGAGAAGTAAGAAGTGCTGCAAAATCAGCAAGGGGTCAAATACTTATTTCCCCCTCTGTAGCTTGGCTCAAAAAAGGTTGAAAAACACTGCTTTAAAGCATGGGTGATGTGGGAAATGTCTGATGTGGGTGGAGGGAGATGGAGGATTGAGGATTCTCTGTGTGATCGTGTTGGGGACAGGAGTCTCAGCTGAAGGCGCTGAAGGACACCGTGCACATCTGTTTCTCAGCCGTCCTGCAGAGCCAAAACAGCCACAGATTCCCCCCCGCACACCTCTTCAGATACCCCTCCCTCGCCAACAGCTCCAGGATCACCTTCCAGCAGCCGCACGCCAAGGTAAGGACGCCTTCTAAAGCCCTTATCGTTTCAACCCTTATTCCTGACTCCATGTTTTCCAGAAGATGGCCTGGGTGTGGAGAATGTCAGACTCTTCATATTTACCCCTTTAAAGCCCGAAGCAAGAAAAATAGGAAGAATATTGGATTTTTTTAGTCTTAAGTCTTTCTTTGGCCCCTCAACAACATATGAAGAAAAAAAAACAGAAATTATTTTGAGCAAATTAGCGTACCACCGCTGAAAGCCTACAAGCGTTTTATTTTTTTAAGTTTGTGGACAAAAACAGATACATAGGAGCTGAGTCTGATAAAAAGTGAATTATATGTTTAACCCTTTAAAGCCCGATCCAAGAAAAATAGGAAGAATATTGGATTTTTTTAGTCTGAAGTCTTTCTTTGGCCCCTCAACAACATATGAAGAAAAAAAACAGAGATTATTTTGATCAAATTAGCGAGCAATAAGTCAGAAATATATGTTGGTGTAGTCTTCTACTGGCTGTTATCAGGTATATCTGAATGTGTACAACAGGGGTTTGAGCAAAGCTTTTACCACTGAATGATGCAGAAAGTCTCACATCCAAAAGAAACCCGATCAGATATGACACATTTGGCATTATAGGGTTAATGAACGGGTGGAGAAATTTGCACAATTTAGCACGAACCCACAGAGGAAGAGGTCTAACTGTCCTTGAACTAGCAGAATGCACCACTTTAAAATGTCAGTAAGCACTTTGCCTGGATCTCACACATCCAACATTTCTACGGCCTGAGGACAGCCTCGGACCTTTTAAGAATCTGTGCCAATAGGCAAATGTTTCAGCTCTCTACTGCCGAGTTAGGGCCGTGCGGGTTAACCCAAAAAGCCAAATGATGACACATTTGGCTTTATATACATGACTGAGTCTTTTTTTTTCACACTTTTCCTGCTGATAGGCCCTCCACAGTCCCAAATGTACACAATCACATGATTAAAAACTTGGTTTTGCATAATATGTCCCCTTTAAAACATACATTTTCTGTTTGCAGCTCATGATTTGGTTAATTTGTGTTTGCAGTATAATAAAAAATACAAAAAAAAACATTAAATCAAATGATTAAAAACTTGGTTTTGCATAATATGTCCCCTTTAATATTTATTTTACTTTCCCTGGTTAGCTTATCAGACCACTATAGGACCTTTCCCATTCATGTGTGTTATAGAATATAGAAATGTGGGAAATGACTGAGAGGTTTTGATATAATTTAGCACTTCTGCATAACATTTAATGTTCCAAAACACTGCAACACCTTTTGCCATAGAGCTCTGGGGTCC